AATTTTGACATAGAGAGTTTAATCGAACTAGTTACCAAATTTTAAGAGCTTAATTGTTGCAATCAATTGTCAAAGGACCAAATAAAAATTAAGAGTGAATTGTAAGGGTACAAATTGTAATTTACCCTACCCCACAAGACCGGCCCAACGGTATGAAAACAAAAACCCCGACCCCAAATTTTTAAAAGACTCCATAATTTTAAGTACATTACAAACGCACAAAAAAAAATTAAATCCATTAAATTTTAAGCCTTACAAAAAACCCCAAAAAATTAAACTCAATCAAAATTTTGTGAAAATTGAAGGTGAATCCCCCTAAATAAACTTATAATAACTTGAGTCTTAGAAAGAAACTTATTTGAGAATAAGTCCTCGTTTAAACTTATATATAAGTGCTTAAGTCCACTTATTTTTTAAATCTCATAATTGTCCTTAACGATGTTAATTTTGTCTAGTTATGAAAAGTCACAAAGGTTAAATCATTGAGGTATATATAGAAACCCTTGATTAAGTTATATATAGAAACCGTTTATTAAATATTATGATAATTAATGAGAGTTTTATATGAAAATTATATATTCTGATAATTATATATATGAAATTTAATGTACTAATAAATTGTTGGTCTATTAAGTCAAAACTAGATCACAAAATTTCTTTAACAACAATAAAACATAATATAAGGATGCTAAACAATGTCAATAGAGTTCAATAACACGAATGTTAATATATAGTAACATTCTTGTTACTATATGATTGAAGTTACAATTAGGGTCATGTTATCATTACAGTCGTGTTACTATACTGACACTAATTAGTGTCACTATAGTGAATTTTAACATACAATTATAAATCTTGAGACGTATATTATGTAAGATACACTTTAATATTCACAGTAACATCAAAGGTTTGTATTCAATAACACATCAAATTTTACAAAATACAAGACAACAATTTTTTTTACATTATATCAACTTTCGAATAATTTTAGTGAAAATACAATCCATAAATTGAAAATTTACAAAATGACAAATAGTAACACACAATCGATAGTTAAATTACGACACTCAACACCAATTGTGAAAATTAAGTCGTCGAAATTCTAAACTCTATTTTTTAATTCACGTACAATAACTTAAAGTTTTTTCACATTAACACAACAAAAGAATACTCGATTGTCTTGCGCAACAAAAAAATCAATAAAATCAAAATCTATAACACTTTAATTTAGTACTAATATATGAGTTAATCTTGGTTACAAGGTTAATGCCCACTTTAATAAAATTAAATTCCTAATTGTTATTACTTTTTTAACATGTTACTATTTTTTTTGTAAGCATATTACTATTTTTTTAGTGACCATGTTACTGTTTTTATTGAATAGGTTACTATTGTTATTTTTCAAATATAAATATTAAATATTAATATTTTATCGATGGAATCCAAAATAAATTGGAATAGTAAATTGAAATTAAGTTTTATAAAATATAATGAATTTGAAATTTGAATATGAACGATTTTTAATAAATGTTGATTTCTTGTTTTTTGAATAAAGAAATATTGTGGTTTAGAAGATTGTAACCGGATTTAAAGACAATTATGAAAGAGATATAAATGACTATTTATCGTGTCCATAAACGTCGTTTATAACATTCATATAAATAAGGGTTACAATAGTAAAATTAACAATAGTAAAATTATTGCAATAATTTGAGCATACAATCCAATCCATAAGATTAAAAACTTAAAAATTAAAAAAAAATACTTAAAACCCAACTCATATTTACATACACACACACACTCTCTCTCTCTCTGGGGTAAGAAAAAATAAAAAACAAAAAACAAAAGTTAAAATTAAACACTCTCTCTCTGTGGTAAAAAATAAAAACAAAAATTAAAATCTTTTTCTCAACAATATCAACACATCCTTCTTTTTCTCAACTTAAAATTAAATAAATTTTCTTAAAAATAGACTTAAAATCAAATAAATTTTCTTAACAAACTAATATCCAAATAAGTTTCATATAGGATGACCGGCCTCCAAATTTTTCCAAAATTTTTATTGCAATAATTTGAGCATACAATCCAATCCATAAGATTAAAAACTTAAAAATTTAAAAAATTTAAAAAAAATACTTAAAACCCAACTCATATTTACATACACACACACACACACTCTCTCTCTCTCTCTCTCTCTCTCTGGGGTAAGAAAAAATAAAAAACAAAAATTAAAATCTTTTTCTCAACAATATCAACACATCCTTCTTTTGTCTTCCTCTCACATAGAAAATTAAAAATAAATTAATTTTTTTAAAAATAATAATACTAAAAATAAAAAGACTTTCATTTAATGTTTTCGTTTTAGATCTCAAATTGGCTTAAGCCACTCCTGTCATCCTATAAAATATATTACTTTTAAGAGGTTAACTCGGGTTATTTATTTTGCATTCTTTAAACTTTGTTTTGAGCAATGAAACTAATTTTATATCAAGTCACGGTAGTTAGGCATTCAACTTGATGGAGTAATCCACACATGCCTTAACCAAAATAAATGAAACTAATTTTACCTAGAAAAGAAAAGAGGGACCTATATAGAACTACCTGGAGTAAGGGGATAGTTTTGGTAGGACATGAACCTTTCTCCCTAACCCATTCATCTAGAGAGAGATTGGGTAGGTGAGTAGGTGTGTTTTTTTTTTTTTTTTTTTTTTTTTTTTTTTTTTTTTTTTATTTTTTAAATA